TTGAGGATGTACGATGGATGGGGACGAGGGGGGGGGGTAAGGTAAGGAGCGGCGACGAAGGGTAGAGGCAGGAATGGGGCCGAGGAGTGGATCGTTAGTTGCAGATGTTCTATGGTGGAGCCTGGGTCGTGGCTGAGGTCCGACCTTTGGCGTCTACCCTCAGCACGATATGTTTAACTTCCGGGGGCTGCTAAAAGCGCCCCTGGCCCAAGGTGCCCCCAGCTTTTCATTCAATTTTGGAGCCCCTGGGGCCCTCTGGGCCTCGTGAGGGGTGCTCTGGAGTCCGTAGGGGCCTCCCTGGAAATCCTGGGGGCACCTTGGGCCAGGGGCATATCTTGCAACACCCGAAACGTTTGGGCAAGTCTGGCGGCCACTATAAGTACCTTGTGCACCGTCGCTTCGCGGCCACACTTCTGGACAAGCGCAGGGGTGCTCCCTTTGCAGCGCGGTCGGCGCTTTGTCCCCGTCGTTTAGACTGGCGCTCTCGCACAAGCGCGAGCCACGCTTCTGGGTCCGATTCCTTCCTCGTCGTTGCCCTCCCACCCCCTGCTCGCTCGTCGTAGGCGCCCCCGGGGACTGGTGGGCGGCCGTCGCGGCGGGAAGCCCAGCAGACAGAGGCAGCTGCACCTGAAGCGGGACGCCACGGACTGTTCTCAGCTTCCCTGGCATTAAGTCGGGCCTGTCCCTCTACAGGAGGAATGTTCAAACATAGCTTGAACATAGTATGGGGATGATATGGTCTGATGTATGTTTGGATATGTTTGAACATTGTTGAACAATTGTTGTATTCTTCGCCCAAAATCCAACTGTAGGAGCACATGCCCGACCGAACCCTGGCCTCGAATGGCCGCCACGGGAGCGCGCGCATATCCTCCTCTTCTGCCCCCGGCGGGGCAGCGCGGAAGGCGCGCGGCGCTGTCCGCGGAAGGCGTGGCGCGCGAGCACAGTTGGCTGCCCTGGAGTCCTCCTCCTCCTCCTTCTCCTCCTTCCCCTCCTCCTCCTCGTCCTCCTCCTCCTCCTTCTCCTCCCCTCCCCCTCCCCGTCCCCCTTTCCCCTCCCCTCCCCCTCGCCCTCCCCTCGCCCTCCTCCTCCTTCTCCTCCTCCTCCTCCTCCTCCTCCTTCTCTTCCTCCATCTCCTCCTCCCTTCTCTCCTTCCTCCTCCTCCTTCCTCCTCCTCCTCCTCCTTCTCCTTCTCCTCCTCCTCCTCCTCCCCCTCCTCCTCCTCCTTCTCCTCCTCCTCCTCCTCCTCCTCCATCCCTCCTCGTCGTCGCCGTCTTCCTCCTCCCCCTTCTCCTCCATCCTTCTTCCTCAGAAATAACTCCCCCCTGTCGCACCATCATGCTCGTCTGTAGGCCGGGCTTGGCGTTTCGCTTGATACCCACTGACGCTTTAACTGCAGGGCCGGCGTTTTCCTAAATGCGCCGACGCCCTCGGCCGGCTCCTGGTCTTGGTCCTGAAAACGCCGGTCATTGAAAGTATATATCTTTGAGCGTTCGGATCCCACTCTGCTTCAGGCGCCTTCCTACTTCAAGAGTCGAGCGGTTTTCCTTCTTCCTTCTTCTGCAGAGGGTGGGCGGAAGCCCAATCTCCTTCCAACGCCTTCCTACTTCGTGTTTCTACCACATAATTCCGACCTGCGTGTACTGAAGTGTCGGTCCTTCCTCTAGTGCCCGGCGTTTGTCCGCGGGGTGCTCGACGCGGGCGCAGCGCGGATGCGACGCGGATTCCAGGCGGCTTCGCGGAGCCGACGTGGATTCGACGAGAGTTGGACGTGGAAAGCGGCGCGATGCGGCGGGATTCTCCGACCCCGCCTGCTCGGACCTCACTGTTAGAGGCCTCGAGCGCCCCTCCCTCGCCCGTGGCCGCGTCCGAGGCGGGCCGACCGGGCCTGCTCGGTGCCCCCGGGCTTCGGCATGAGAGTCTCTCCGCGGCCTGGTGTTCTCCGCATGGGGGACGCGCGGACCGGATCGGCTCAGCTTGGCCGAGTGGCCCACGGGCCGACTGGCAGCGTCAGCTCGTACTCCTCTCGGGCAAAGAGAACTGTGCACATGCACCCATCTTGGCCTGGCCCATCCTGGGCCCGGGATGGGTGCACGTGCCCTCCTGGCCAAGGCAGGATGGCGTATGCACCGATCCTGGGCTCAGGATGGGCCTGGCCAGAATCGGTGCATGTGCATAGTTCTCTTTCCTCTGTCCTTACGGTGGGGGCCCATGCCAAGATACACCCTGCTTGCCTCCAGGGTGCCCGTGGGCGTCTTGGATTTCGAGGGTTTTGCGATGGAAGGCGTGACGCACTCCCGCAACCGAAGTCAACGGACGTCCTGGGGTCTCAGGGTTGGGTTTCTCGTGGAAGGTTTCTTTTATGGACGGGCCTCCACTGTACCATCTCTCTGCGCGGCCGACTGGCGCTATCCGTTCACGCCCCCATCGTTCCGACTCTGTTGTCAATTTAGGCACCGCGGGTGACATGCGAATCGTGTGGCCCCCCAACTACAGTGGAACTTGGAGAGAACATTGCAGCACAACGCGCCCGCAGCAAAGCGAAAAGAAGGTGATGACTTCATGTATACGGACGATGAAACCGCCTGGTCTCCCAGACCGTCTGGATATCACTAGCGGCTAACCTCGGACAGTCGATTTCCCCGGCGATCGACGGCATCACCAACTGGCTGACCCGTTGCGAGAGTTGTCTGGTGATCCTCCTGCATCCTCCTGCCTTTGCACATCCCGTTGCTGCACGGCGGCTTACAGACAGTACGACTTGCGTTGATTCTTGTTGCGCTGTGTCCTCGGGACAGTGGTGGCTGTGGTCAGAGAATGTGAGAGAGGGAAGCAGGTACGGAGGAGGCAGAAGCAAGGGAAGGGTTCCCTCCTCCGTCTCCTCCTCATCCTCACTCCTTCTGCTGCGCCTCCTCCTCTTCCTCCCGGGTCTCCTGCACTGGCCTAGGCCCCAGAGATATGTCGATTGTCGAGCTGTTCCTAACACCTCGGAAAACCTCCGAGGACTTACGAGCACCTTCCGAATCCCTTCAAGTCCTCCCGGCACCCCTTGAACAGCTTCTGCTCCTGCCCCCGAGGCGCCTGGCGTCGCCGCCCCGTCGCCGCCTTGTCGCCGCCAGCCGTCTTGGTCTGCGTGCTGGTGTGGCGGCTATGTAGCCGCAGTGGCCGCCCCGTCCCCCCTCTCGTCGCCGCTCGTCGCCGCCATTCGATTGCACCAGATAGATTGCTTCGCGTTGCTTTGCGTTGATTTGCCTTGCGTTGCGTTGCTTTGCGGTGCTTCGCATTGCTTCGCATTGCTTTGCCATACTTTGCATCGCTTTGCGCTACTTTGCTCTGTCTTGCTTCGCGTTGTTCTTCGTTGCTTTGCGTTGCTTTGTATGGCATTGTGTTCCATTGCGTTGCTTTCCATTTCGTTGCTTTGCTTTGGATTGCCGTGCATCACCTTACATTGCTTTGCATTGCGTTGCATTGCGTTGCATTGCATTGCATTGCATTGCTTTGCATTGCTTTGCATTGCTTTGCATTGCTTTGCAATGCATTATCTTGTTTTTCATTTCTTTTCATTTCGTTGCATTGACTTGCATTCCTTTGCATGGCTTTGTATTTATTTCCATGTCCTCGCATTGCTTTGCATTGCGTTGCTTTGCCTTGATTTGCCTTGCTTTGCATTGCGTGGCTATGCTGTGCATTGCTTTGCATAGCTTCGCATGGCTCTGTAGTGCGTCGTATTGCTTGACAGTGCGTTCCATGTGTTTGTATTGCTTTGCGTTGGTTTGCATTGCGTTACATTGTTTTGCACTGGTTCGTATTGCATTGCATTGCTTTGCACTGCGTTGCATGGCCGTACATTGCTGTTCATTGAATTGCATTGCTGTGCACCACATCGATTGCACCACACAGAGTGTACTGTCTAGATTGCACGACCTAGATTGCACCACAATGATTCCACCACCTAGGTTTCAAGGGATCCGAATGCCTGTGGTGGTCCTCATCGTTGTTTTCGTCCTCGTTCTCGTTCTCGTCTTCGTGGTCGTCGTCGTTCTCGTCTTCGTCGTCGTCGTTCTCATTTTTATCGTCGACGTCGTTGTCCTCGTCGTCGTCGTCATGGTTGTCCCCGTGCTCGTCCTCGTCCTTGCCGTCGTCGTTTTCGTCACCGTCTTCTTTGTCGGTGTCCTCGTCGCCGTCGTCCTCGTGGCGGGCGGGCGGGCGGGCGGGCGAGCGGGCGGGCGCGCGGGCGGGCGGGCGGGCGCGCGGGCGGGCGGGTCGGCGGAAGGGCGGCTGGGCGCCCACCAAGAGCATCTTGGAAAACGATCCAACGAACTTGGACGAGATGTTTCTTCCTCGATTCGGGTCCGTCCAGATCTATTGGAGAGCGGCAGTCAGGTAGGTTTGCTAAACTGCTGGGCCCGAGGCGCGGCAGGCGCCATCCTGATCCAACATGTCTATTGTTGTGCGTGAGGGGATTCTGGAAGCCAGAGGCGCAAGATAGGAACATGCTACATTCTTAGCTTCCCGTGAATGGCCCAGGGCTCAAGGTACGAAATTCGGTTGATTCGTATCCTAAGTTGCTTGACATCGCAGGTAAATAGATACAGCCTCCGCCACACCCAACCAACCTCTATGTCTTGCTGCACACTGCACTACCTTGGCAAACGGTGGGGACGATGCCACCGATGCTGGACGAGTTTCTGGAACCTTGCCGAAAAATCTATTGCATGTGTCCTGTGCCATGTGACTTCGGAGAAATTCTTGGCACAATCTTGAAATCCCCATGCGGGCCTTTGGCGACTACTCGCTGAGATGATTGACGTACGCTTTCGGGACATCGAATCCGAAAAGTTTGTCGATGAACACGCCGCGGGCTTCGGTGCTGATGGTCGTGCTCGAAGCGTGTCTGTCTGGCCTCGCAAGCTCGGCTTGCGACCACGCCATGTGCACAGACAAAGGGTGAGCTGAATGACACTATTGCGGGACTCCTGAGCTAGTGGGTTTCCACATTAGGTTGTAATCCAAATGGCCATGTTGGTTGAACCTGGTGCCATCGAACATATGTATGTTGTATGTTTGGTTCAAGCCATTCTGGCTCAAGCTATTTCGGCCACACGTATTTGTGGCTCACTTCGAAGCACCTTGTCTTTTCGGATGCTGGACTTCGGTCGAGGGTCTCGAGAAAGCGCTATTTCCCTCGAAGCGTTGATCAAGAACTGCGGTCGGACAAAACAATGGAGCGCAGCACTGCGGTTGCTCCGCGACGCAATTCGATTCGATGTGCAACTCGTCCCAAGCCACTACATTGCGACTGTCAGCGCATGCAGAAAAGGCGGGCAATGGCAACACGCGCTGTCAGTGCTCAGTGAGATGTGGGAGGCGAAGCTGGAGCCCAACGTCATCAGTTACAGCGCTGGGATCAGCGCGTGCGAGAAGGGCCATCAGTGGCAGCGGGCACTGGCGCTGCTGAGCGAGATGTTGAAGGCGAAGCTGGAGCCTGACGTCATCAGCTACAGCGCTGGGATCAGCGCGTGCGAGAAGGGCGAGCAGTGGCAGCCAGCGCTGGCGTTACTGAGCGAGATGTGGAGGGGGAGGCTGGAGCCCGACGTCATCAGCTACAGCGCTGGTATCAGCGCGTGCGAGAAGGGCGAGCAGTGGCAGCGGGCCCTGGCACTGCTGAGCGAGATGCGGAAGGCGAAGCTGGAGCTCAACGTCATCAGCTACAGCGTTGGGATCAGCGCGTGCGAGAAGGGCCATCAGTGGCAGCAGGCGCTGGCGCTGCTCAGTCATATTTTGCAGGCGAAGCTGGAGCCCGACGTCACCTCCTACAACGCTGGGGTCAGCGCGTGCGAGAAGTGCGAGCAGTGGCAGCGGGCCCTGGCGCTGCTGAGCGATATGCGGGAGGCGAAGCTAGAGCCCGACGTCATCTCTACTTCATTGCAGGGACCAGTGTATGCGAAAAGGGCGGGGGTTCGACACGGGTTTTCGGCGCTCCAGCGGTCCTGGCGAGGCCCAGCAGGCCCCAGTGCGCTTCGAAGATGGCCCATGAGCGCTCCGAGACGCCCCGGGATGCCTCCAACAGAGCCCCAAGACGTCCCAGGACGGTTCAAATGGGCTTCGGAGACGGTCCAGGAGAGCTCGAAGGCGCTCAAGATAGCTTCAACACGGCCCAAGAGGCCCCCCAATTGCTCCAAGTGGGCTCCCCGAAGACGCCCGACAGAGCCCGCGCAAGCAAACAACATGCCAAACCCTAGGGAGAACATGCATTTTCGTGCTTCCCGTGTTTTTCGTTGGTAGAGCGTCCCAGACGACAGTGCAGGCCCCCAAGATCGCCCCACGACGCCTCAGGTGGGCCCCAGCAGGCCTTCACGACTGCCCCAGACAGCCCCTGGACGGCTCCCGTGGCGCCCACGGCAGCCCAAGAGGCACCCAAGACAGGCCCAAGAGCGGCCAAAGATGGCCCGAGAGGGCCTCCAGACGGTCCCAAGACGGCCCCACAGATGCCCAAGACGGCCCGAGACGGCCCCAAGAGGCACCCAAGACGGCCCCAAGAGGCACCCAAGACGGCCCAAAAGGGACCCAAGAGGCCCCCAGGAGGCCGCAAGACGACCAAAGAGGGCCCCGAGACGCCCCCAGGAGGCCGAAAAGAAACCCCGAGAGGCCCCCAAACAGCTCTCAAGGAGAAGGCAGCGCCCGCCATTAGGCTTCAAAAAGGCAACCAGAAAAAAGTCACCAGAGCCCTCCGGTAACTTTTTTCTAGGCCCCAGGTGCTTTCAAACATGTTCCAACCAGGGGGAGCAGACAATTGGCGAGAGGCACACCGCAGACCCACCATAGCCGTCTGTGACGCTCCGAAGGCTGTCCAGGCGAACGTGGAGCCTAAGGTGGACGAAGAGGAGGAAGCGCCCGCCTTCCAATTTAGGAAAGGCGGCCGGAAAAAGTCACCGAAGGCTTCGGTGTGACTGTTTCCTGGGCGGGGGCCCGACGTGGAGGCGCTCCAGGGGGGCCTGCTGGTCGTGGACGAAGTCCACAGGTTCGCCCTAGTCTGTACTACAATTCCGGGCGAAGCGCGTGCGAGTAGTAGAAGCAGTGGCAGCGCCCCGGGCTGCCTAGAGAGCCCGCGGGCAACCCGGAGAGCCTCCGGGACGCTCCTCGACGGCCCCAGCCAGGAGGCCCCTGGAGCGTTCGCCGACGGCTCCAGGACCCCCAGATCAGCTACAGCGCTGGGATCAGCGCGTGCGAGAAGGGCGAGCAGTGGCAGCGGGCCCTGGTGCTGCTGAGCGAGATGCGGGAGGCGAAGCTGGAGCCCAACGTCGTTAGCTACAACGCTGGGGTCAGCGCGTGCGAGAAGGGCGAGCAGTGGCAGCGGGCCTTAGCGCTGCTGAGCGAGATGCGAAAGCCCGACGTCACCTCCTACAACGCTGGAATCAGCGCGTGCGAGAAAGGCGCTCAGTGGCAGCGGGCACTGTCGCTTCTGAGCGAGATGCGGCAGGCAAAGCTGGAGCCCGATGTCATCAGTTACAGCGCTGGGATCAGCGCGTGCGAGAAATGCGAGCAGTGGCAGCGAGCACTGGCGCTGCTCAGTGAGGTACGGGAGGCGATCTTGGAGCCCAACGTCGTCTCTCCTACATGGCCAGTGGGTCTGCGTGCGAGAAGGGTTCACAGGGCCTCGTGTGTACAAAATCGCCTCGTGTGCCACCACGGGACCGAATCGCTCAGGCCGGTCCCAGAGGCGCTCCAGAGGGGTTGCCAGACCGCCCACTGGCGCTCGAAGACGGCCTCAGTGGGTCCCGAGACTGCCCACGAGGGCCCGAAGCCTTCGGGGTGGGGCTCCACGACGATCCAAGAGGCCGCAAAGACGCCCCAAGAGGGCCCTGTATGCACGCCAAAGAGGCACAAATCGTCAAGTTCCCATTGGAAAAACGTATATTTTCAGCATGCCCGCCTTGTGTGCTCCTCAGCGGCCCAGGACACGCCAAGAGGCCTCCCAAACCGCCCCAAGAAGACTCCGGCGGCCCCTAAGAGGGCTCCAAGACGGCCCACAAGAGCCCCAAGACGACGCCAGAGAGCCCTGAAACGGCCTCACAGAACCCCAAGGCGGCCCCAAGAGAGCTCCGATGGGGCCCCAAGAGGCTCCCAAGACGGCCTCAGGCAGCCTCAAGAGAGCTCCAAGACGGTCCAAGGCCTCCCAGACGCCCAGTGACGGCCCAAAAAGGCCCCAAAACGTTCCCAGAGCCGCCCAAAACAGCTTCAAAATGGCCTGGAACATACCCCCACAAGGTCGACCAAGCAGGCCCAGGGACGGCCACTAAAAGAGCGATCGGTGAAGTACAAAGCTCTTTTCACCAAGGCTCCCAAGAGCGAGACGCAGCGTGGAGAGCTCTCCCAGGCACAGCTCCCAAAAGCGAGCGGTGACGTCGGAAAACCCTTCCGACCTCTCACACAGGAGCGCGCACGCACAGCACGCAAGCACAATAGATGTCCTGGGTTGTCCCCCGGAAGAGGCTCGGGGGGACAGCCCGGGAACGGCCCCAGAGGCGCCCAACAAAATCTTCAAGAGAAAAGGCCCCCAGGAGGCCGCAAGACGGCCCAAGAGGGCCCCAAGAGGCCCCTAGGAGGCCGCAAGACAACCAACGAAGCCCCAACAGGCCCCCAGGACCTCGAAAAGAAACCCCGAGAGGCCCACTAACCGTTCTCAAGGAGACAGCGGCGCCTGCCATCAGGCTTCGAAGAGGCAACCGGAAAAAGTCACCAGATCCCTCCGGGTGACTTTTTTCAAAGCCCCGGGTGCTTTGAAAATTGACAAGCGGCAAGACGTAGACCGCAGACCCACCATAGCCGTCTGTGACGCTCCGAAGGCTGTCTAGGCGGAGGTAGAGCGGAAGGCGGACGAATAGAAGGAAGCGGTCCAAGAGGGCCTCCGAGACGGCCCAAGACCGCTCGAAGACGCTCGAGACGAGCCGCGGCAAACGAAATCATTGATTCTTCTATGGTTTCCCAAAGATTTTCACCTTCTCGCCACTTCGAGCGAAGACAGGCCCAAGACAGCCTTTTCGAGCCAAGACTGGCCCAAGATGACGTGGACGAAGTCCACGGGTTCGCCCTAGTCTCTACTACAATGCAGGGGCCCGCGCGTGCGGGAAAGGCGGGCCACGGCGAAAGCGTAGTCGGCGCCCCGGCGGCCCTTGCGAGCCCTGGAGAGCCCCCGGACGGCTCCAAGACGGCTCCGAGACGCTCAAGAGGCCGCCCCGACGGCCCACAGACGGCTCCGAGACGCTCAGGAGGCCGCCACGACGGCCCACAGACGGCTCCGAGCCGCTCAAGAGGCCGCCTCGACGGCCCCAAAGCCCCCAAGGCAGGCCAGGAGGCTCCCAAGACGGCCTTGGAGGGAAAGCTCCAAGAGGCCAAAATTGTCCCATTCCCTTCGGCATATTTTGGGCATTCTCGTGCTTTTCGTTTCTGACGCGTTCGCTGCTGCCATAGAGGCCCCCAAGATCGCCCTAAGATGCCCCCATGAGGGCTCCAAGAAGGCCCAAGACGACCCCAGGAGGGCTCCTGAGGCGCCCCTGGCGGCCCGCTTGGTACCCAAGACAGCCTCAAGAGCGGCCCAGGATGGCCCAAGACGACCCCCAGGTGATGCCCAGACTGCTCCGGAGACGCCCGAGGCAGCCCCAGACAACCCCCAGACGGCCCCGAGAACGCCTCAGATGGTCTCCAGACGGCCCGAGAGGCTTCCAAAACGCTCCAAATGGGCTCCACGACGAGCCCCAAGAGAGATTCCTCGGGGAAACATGCATCCTTCATAGCGTCCAAGACTATCATACAGAGGCCCAAGATGTGGCCTTAGGACGGCTCTTGAGGCGCTCCTGGCGGCCCACGGGGCACCCAAGACAGCCTCAAGAGCGGCCAAGGACGGCCTTAGACAACCCCCAGACGGTGCCCAGACTGCTCCAGAATTGCCCAAGACTGCCCCAGACAACCCTCAGACGGCCCCGGACCGCCTCCACACGGCCCAAGAGGCACAGGAGACAGCCCAAGAGGGCCCCAGGAGGTTTCCAGGAGGCCGAAAAGAAGCGCTGAGAGGCTCCAAAACGACACCCAGAGGCCCCAAGATCACGGCCCAAGAAGCACCGAAGACAGCACCATGAGCAGCCAAAGACGGCCAAAGACGGCAACAGATGGCTCCCAGCGCACCACGGGCCTCTGATGCTTGTTTGGCGCTCCCTGCTGGCTTTGGCCCCAAAATCCTCGCAACCTTTTTGTCGGTCTGGAGCCCTCTCCGCGGCCTCTTGGGGCCATGCCGTGTTTCGCTCTTCTGGTGGCCCAGAATCGCCTCGGCCGACCGGAAGCGCGCGCGGCCGCCCAGGGCGCGTCGGGCGGGATTCTGGGTCGGCAGCGCGGTGGCCCAGAATCGGTCCCGCCGATTCTGGGCGGGCTGCCATCATGGGGCTATCTTGGAGGCGTGTTGATGATCTTAGGGCCCCTAAGAGGGCCCCCAGACAGTCCCAGAACGCCCCGAAAAAGTCGGACCCAATGCACCGACAAAGCCCGACCCGATCCTGAGGGAGCCCTTGACCGACCCAGGTGGGGCGTCCAGACGCTCCTCCGTCTCCTCGCTCAGCGATGTGTGGCAGGCAAACGTGACGCCATTCATCCTGATTGCCTTGCGGCAGCACCCCTTCTCCCCGCAAGTGGACGTAGTCCACGGGTCAGCCCTAGTCAGCTACAACGCTGGGATCAGCGCGTGCGAGAAGGGCGAGCAGTGGCAGCGGGCCTTAGCGCTGCTTTGCGAGATGCTGGAAGCGAAGCTGGAACCCACCGTCATCAGCTACAGCGCTGGGATCAGCGCGTGCGAGAAAGGCGAGCAGTGGCAGCGGGCCCTCTCGCTGCTCAGCGATATGTGGGAGGGAACGGTGGAACCCACCGTCATCAGCTACAACGCCGGGATCATCGCTTGCGACAAAGGTAAGCAGTGGCAGATTGCCGTGTCGTTGCTCAGTCATATGTGGGAGGCGAAGTTGGTGCCCGGGGTCGCCAGCTACAGCATTGGTGTCAGTGCGTGTGAGAGAGTCAGTTGTGCAAATTGTCTTGGCGTCGGCGGGCTCGGGTTTCTCCCTAGAGCAAGCTGTGGGCGCTCCTGAGGGTCGACCTGGCCTCCGCCTCCAGCGCAGCATGTGCGTTTTCTGCGGGCTCCACGGGTCTCTCCAATAGACTTGTGACCTCGTCAGTTTGTGCAAGCCAGGCGAGCAGTTCAATGACAGCGTGCCATGGCGCTGCTCAGCGAGATGTGGCAAGCGAAGGTGGGTTCCATCATCATCGTCGGCTACAGCGCTCGGACCAGCGCGCGCTGGAAGGTTGATCAGTGGCAGCAGCTCCCGTTTGCATACTGCTCAGCGAGATGCGGGTGCCGAAGTCGGAGCCCAACGCGGGCGAGACTAGCAAGCAGTGGCAGCGGGTCATGGGTGTTGCTCAGCGAGATGTAGGAGCAACAAAGAGCCCCAAGCCAGCCTCAAAATGTCCCAATATGGCCACAAGACAAGCCAGGAGGCCTCCCAAAACGGCCCAATAGAACCCCGATGACGGCCCCACGACTCCCGAATTCCAGATTTTCAAGAGTTTGTATTAACGATTTCCATGTCCTCTTCATTTTGCCTTCAGAACGGCTCCAGAAGGCGCCCAGCGCCTTCCAGATCGCCCCATCACTGCCCATCAGGCTCCCAAGAGAGGCCCTACCGAAGACGGCCCATCACTGCCCATCAGGCCCCCGTGTGCCCTCCACGACTGCCCCAACAAGGACGACCCAGGAAGGCTCCCAGGGGAATCCAAATCACGTGGCACTCGTACCATGGCTCTTGCACCTAAGGAGGGGGGAGGAGGAGGAGGAGGAGGAGGAGGAGGAGGAGGAGGAGGAGGAGGAGGAGGAGGAGGAGGTGGAGAAGGAGGGGGCGCTCCGAGTTGGCCTCCAAGATCGCTCAAGAGAGCTCAAGTCAGTTGAAGTTGGTCCCAATCATGCTTCCAAGAGGCCCCAAGAGGGCCACAAGACGGCCCCAAGTGCTTTCGGAGCACCTTCGGGACCCCCCAAGAAGCCGAAATCCTTCAAAGCCTGGGGAAAATCAACAAGTTGTTCCTTGACACTTTTTCGCTTCCGATGGGCTTTGGAAGCCTCCAGGCTGGGCTGGCTGTGGGGGAGGGCGGTGCTGTTGCCGTGCGCGCGTGCCGACAAGAGAGTGGTCGGGGCGGAGGGGGCGCGTCGGCTGGGGGGCGAGGGGGAGCGGGGCTGGCTGGGGGGGAGGGGGTGGCGCGGGGCCAGTGCCCTGCGCGCGAGCCGAACACAGGTGGTCGGTGCGAGGGGGGCGCGCCGGCTGGTGAGAGAGGGGGAGGTGGGCTGGCTGGGGTGGGTTGCGGGCGGTGCCGGTGCCGCAGCGGAGTTGGCGCGCGGGCTGGTTTGGGGGGCGAGGGAAGGGTTGGGTTGGCGCGCGGGGGGAGGCGCGGCGCCGAGGCTGGGCGTGCGTGCCGACAGAGAGTGGCCGGGGCGGAGGGGACGTGCTGGTTGCGGGGCGAGGGGGACCTGGGCTGGCTGGGCGAGAGGGGTGGCCCGGTGCCGGTGCCGGTGCCGTGCGTGCCGCAGGGAAGTGGTCGGGGCGGAGGGGGTGCGCTGGCTGGCGGGCAAGGGAGAGCTGGGCTGGCTGGGGGACCGGTGTTGCTAGGGGAACAAAAAGTGACATAAACATAAAAATTGGGAGGTCCGCGCGGATCCGAGAAATCCGCGCGGACCTCCGAGTTTTTCTGTTTATGCCACTTTTTGTTGCCCTAGTTACGCGGCGCAGGTGCTGTGCGAGCGTGCCGGAAGAACGCGGTCGGATGTGTAGACACCCTGTGCAGGAGAATCAGCTCCCCAGGCTGTCCTTCAGAGGGGGCAGCTGGGGGACAACCTGGGAACGGCCGCAGCGGCGCCCAAGATATTGTCAGAGGCCTTCCAGAGACCCAAGATAGCCCCCCAGGGAGGGGGAGGGGGAGGGGGAGGGGGACAAGCTATGTGCGCTCGCGTCATATGTGACGTCCTACCCCTCCCTCCCATCCCTTACCATGGTGCTGATTTTCTCTATCCGCGGACGCGTGTCATAGCGGACCTATGGCTCCGCGCGCGCGTGCGTAGTGGGTGGTGGTGCGCGTGCGTGCGTGCGTGCGTGCGTGCGTGCGTGCGTGCGTGCGTGCGTGCGTGCGTGCGTGCGGTGGTAGTGTGTGTGTGTGTGTGTGCGTGTGTGCGCGTGTGCTGTGGCGTGACGTGGTGTGGCGTCTTGGTGGTTTGGTGGTGGGCCAGGTGCGTGCGTGCGTGATGGCGGTGGTGGTGGTGGTGGCGGTGGTGGTGGTGTTGTGTGTGTGTGTGTGTGTGTGTGTGTGCGTGTGTGCGTGTGTATGTGTATGTGTGTATGTGTGTGTGTGTGTGTGCGTGCGTGCGTGCGTGCGTGCGTGCGTGCGTGCGTGCGTGCGTGCGTGCGTGCGTGCGTGCGTGTGTCTGTGTGCGCGCGTGTGATGTGGTGTGACGCGGTGTAGCGTGGTGGTGGGTGGGGTAGTGGGGTGGTGGTGGCGGTGCGCGTGCGTGCGTGCGTGCGTTGGTGGGTGGAAGTGGCGGTGGGCGGGGCGGGGCGCGGTGCGGTGGTGGCGGGCGGATGGGCGCGCGAGAAAGAGGCCCGCGCTGGGGCGAGAACGCCATCCTGAACGACGGAGGCAAAACACCGATCCGAAAATTAGGCCCACGCTGCAGCGGGAGCACGATTCGGAACGAACGGAAAGCCCGAAAATGAGGCCGGCGCCTCAGCGAGAAGCATTTTGAAAAAAAACCGAGCGAAAACCCAACTCCGGGAAATCCTGTGTGTAAAAAACAGTACACGGAGGGGTGCCCGCCATCTTCCGCACGCCATCAGTGGATGGAGGAGAGTGTATTCATATTGGGTAATCGTGGAGGAGGAGGATGAGAGGAGGAGGAGGAGGAGGGCGGAGGAGGGCGGAGGAGGGACGAGGATGGAGGAGGAGGAGGAGGAGGGAGGAGGAGAGAGGAGAGGAGGAGGAGGGAGGACGAGGAGGAACAAGAGGGAGGAGGAGGGGAGGGGAGGAGGGAGGAAGGAGGAGGAGGGAGGAGGAGAGGAGGAGGAGGCGAGAGGAGGAGAGGGAGAGGGGGAAGAGGAGGACGAGGAGGAGAGAGGAGGAGGAGGAGGAGAGAGAGGAGGAGAGACGGAGGCGGAGGAGGAGGCGGAGGCGGAGGCGGAGGCTGAAGGGAAGGAGGAGTAGGAGGAGGCGGAGGCGGAGGAGAAGGAGGAGGAGGAGGAGGAGGAGGAAGGCAGGACGGGGAGCAGGTGGCGAGGCGTCTGGGCTCAGCCCACGGCGGCCCCATCCGCGGCGAGGGGCGGCCCCGGGCCGCGCGACCCGTGGGCGACTGGCCGGGAGAGGCCTCGCGATGGCGCGCCGGGCCGTGCGCACGTGGCATATGGGACGACCCCCCGTCGCGCTCTCGACGCGTCGGCGGCCGCAGCAGGGACGAGCAATGAGCCTTACGTCGGGCATGGCCCTCTACAGGAGGATTAGATCCGAAAGCAGCCTGAACATGGTCCGGGGACGATGTGCTTTCTTTTCCGTTATTTTTGGACTATGTTTGGCTAGTTGTTGACACGCTGCAGTTTTTCTTACAACACCCGCCTGTAGGAGGACGTGCCCGACCTGATGTTCGCCCATGGAGGCCCTGGCGACGTGCGAGGCGTCCCGAGAGAGGGCCTTGCCCTCGAGGAGGGGAGGAGTGGGCAGCTCTGCCTCGGCGGCAGGGCGGCGGCAGGGCGGCGGGAGGTGGGACGGAAGGCGGCGGAGTGAAGCTTAAGTCGGGCTCGTCCCTCTACAGGAGGAATTTTGGGGTATTTTTGGAGTATGTTTGGAGTATTTCTTGTAGCATTTTTTGACCATTTGGGGGCATGTTTTAACTATTTGTTATTTTTCGTCGAAAATCCCCCTGTAGGGGGACACGCCCGACTTAAAGGTAGCAAAATGCGCCCCAAAGAGGTGATCGTTGTCTTATTCCCGGTTTTGCCGATCGGCGCGGGCTCGTGTACCCCCCACTCCCTCCTTCCCATGGACTGGATCTTGGCTGTTTGTTGGCGCCTGTTTCGGGCGGGTGGAGTTCTCCCCAGAGGCCGCACTCTTGCAAACAGTCGCACTCAGCAGAGGTCTGGAGACATACCCCCCCCTCCTCCCCCCTTGCCGCCCAATGTCGAAGCTCCGAGTCAACAAAAAACGCTCACGAGCTGAAAGCGTTGCTGGGTTCAGGGTGCCCAGCATCGGCCGCCTGGGGCGCTCCAGAGGGGGCCTCGCCGTCGAGGCTCGAGGGAGTTGTCATCTCTTCCGCGGCGGAAGGTCGGCGGAAGTAAACGAGGCCGCCTCCGCTGGCGGTTGCCGGCGGACGGGCGGCGGAAGGCGGCGGAAGTAAAAGGATGCGCTCCAAAGATATGAAAACGTTGTTGGGTTCCGGGTGTCTTAAGCCCGCCGTATGATCATTCCATCTCGGCGCCTGTTCTCGATCATGGCCCCTTGGGGCCCTCCGCCGGGCCCGGGACCATCGGAGATGAGTGTCGGGCGAAGAACCAGCCCCCCGGGAGGGGGCTGGGGACCCCTGGCGCCGGGGATAGAATATAAATTAAGCAGGTCGAAGGACATCAGGGCACCAACGGGGTTCTGGTCGCCCATGCCTTCGGCCAGGCTCCCCCGTCGACGCGGCCCGCCCCCTGGATGTCCAACCCGATGTACCTCCGCCGGGGCAGTGCAGGCGGAGTGCCCCCGGGGGTAGAGTCGCTGCGTGCCCGCTGGCTGGCGGAAGGCTGGCGGAAGCAGAAGCGATGCGTCAGTGTGTTTGGGTCCATCCCGATCACCACCCACCAAGACACCCCAACCCGATCCGAAGGCCGTAGCTTGTCCTCCATCTCCAGTTGGGGGGGTCGGAGCAAATGGAACAAACACAGAGATGGAACCCGTACAGCGGAGGCCCATGCCAAGAAACACCTTGCTTGCCTCGGGGGTGCACTGGGTTTCTCTGGTTTTTATGGTTTTGCGATGGAAAGTGTGACGCTCCCATTGAGCGCTCCCGGGTGGCATGTTTCCCACTTCCCTGTCAAAGTATATGAGGGCGATGTTCTGGGGTACAGGGATGCTATAAGTTGGGGGTCATGGGCCTCGGGAGAAGGGTGCAAAGGGTTTGCGAATGCGGGGGCAGGGGTCCAGGGATGCTCTAAGCTGGGGGTCATGGACCTCGGGAGAAGGGTGTAAGGGTTTGCGAATGCGGGAGCAGGGGATCTGGGCGCGCGAATGTGGGATCCAGGGGTATGCGAACGCGGGATCCAGAATCTTTTGCGAAAGGTCGTGGCCTCGGTGGCGCGGACCCATAGTATTTTACGATGGGTCGTTGCTTCGGCGGCGCGAATCCATTGTAGTTTACGAACGATCGCGGCTTCGGCGTCGCGGATCGGACCCAGCGCACAAAATATCATTGATGCGACCCACCACCACCCACCACCACCACCACCACCAACCACCAACCACCAACCACCACCACCACCCCTTCCATCACCACCACCACCCCTTCCACCACCACCATCACCACTACCACCAACCACCACTACCACCATCACGACCATCGCGATCACCACCACCACCACCCACCACCGCCAACACCCACCACCATCACCACCCACCCACCACCACCACCCACCGCCACCACCACCACCACCGCCGCCCACCTCCACGAATTGCGCATACAGTAACACATGCTATTAACATACATATTTATACAAGTTTAGAGAAGCGAAAAAGGCTGGCCTTGAGAACTGGTTTTTGCGATTCCGATGTGTTTCTATGGCGACTGGTGCATGTGGACCGTCGTGCGAAATACCTCTAGCGCTGCCCTAGCGAACCGCCGTGCAATCTACCCAAAGCGGGCTTTCCAAGCGCAGGCCTAGGGAAAACAAAAACCCGTTCTCAAGGCCAAGACTTGTCACCCCCTCCACCACACACACACACACGCTTCACCACCACCGCCACCAAATACAACAACACGCGCGCGCACCACACACACACACCAGGCCCCCATGGTTCCCCATCCACCCTCCGCCGTTTTTCCGCCTTCCGTCCACCACGACCCTGTCGAGCGTCAAAATGGAGGGGGGGGGCGGGGGGGCGGGGCCGCGCGAGGACGGTGACCAGCAACAGGGAGGATGAGGGAGCAGGAAGAGGGAACAGGGAGGAAGAGGGAGCAGGAGGCCGACGAGGAGGACGAGATGGAGGAGGAGGGGGTCTTGCCCTCCCGCTTCCTCACCTCCCCCCTCCCTCCTGCCCGCCCCTCTCCCTCTCCTCCACTTCCTGTGTGGCCCCGCGCAGCCATGGCCTCGATATCAGCTTCATCGTCCGTCGTCGTCGTCCTCCTCCTCCTCCTTCTTCCCCTCCTCCTCCCCTTCCCCTTCTTCCCCTCCTCATTCCCCTCCTTCTTCCCCTCCTTCCTCCTCGTTTCGCCGCGGCCGCCCCGGCCCCGCGCGCCGCGGCCGCCCCGGCCCCGGCGCCGCTGCGGTTGCCCCTGGGGGGCATGGACCTCCTGGACGCGCTCGCGGCCCCGGCCCGGCCGGCATTCTCCGATGGGGCGGGGGAGGCTGGCGAGGCGCGGCGGCCGACGGCGGCGGCTAGAGGCCCCCGCGTCGTCAAGGGGCGGCGCGCGCTGAAGCCGGGGCCGCGCGCCTCGGCCAGCGGCTGCAGCGGCCGCGGCGGTTGCAGGATGCACGGCGCCGTGCTCGCCAAGCACATGGCGCTGATGCGGGCTGCGCGCCAGGCGGCCTCCTACCGCCTCCCCCCTCCTTCCTCCTTCCTCCCTCCCCCCTTCCTCCCTCCCCTCCTCCCTCCCCCCCTCCCCCCTCGGACTCCTCCCCCCCCCCCTCCTCCCCCCGACGCCCGCGCCCTGGAAGGCATCTGTGGCCAAGCGGGTGCAGGCGGAGACCGTGGCGAACGTGGCCCCGCTGCAGGAGACGCACGACGCCTCCCAGCTGCGCCGCCTCGACTGCGCGGCGCCGCCCGGGTCGCAGCGAGTCGAGGGTGGCGCCCAGGCGTGGTCGAGCCACGGGCGCCATCGGGAAAGAATGTGCCGTGCGCGGGCGTTCAACGTTGAATGCCGTTGGTGGCCCTGGATCGTTCCATGTTGAACGATCGGGCGATCGGAAAGCTGCCGATCGTTCAAGGTCGAACGATCGACGCGGCGCGAGGAACCATTTGTCTCGTCTTTCTTGTCGTCGACGATGCGAAAAGCGTGGCAGGAATGGGGCGCGGCGCGCATCGCGCGCGGCAGTCAATCTGGGCTCCCGCCCATCCTGACTGTAAAAAATCAATGCGAAGTCTTCGTTTTTTCCATCTCAGCATGGCCTGCCTCGTCGCCGACGGTGCGAAATGTGTGGCAGCAGTTGGGCGCGGCGCACGTGCGGGGCGCGGCGCGCATCGCGCGCGCGGCCGTCAATCCGGGCCCGCCCGTCCTGATTGCAAAAATCAATGCAAAGTTTCCGTTTTTTCCTCTCAAATGGCCTCCCTTGTAGCCTATAGCGTTGTTTCTTATGTTGTCGGAGGGCGGAACGTGTCAACATGGCCAGTCTCGTCGTCGACGACGCGAAATGCTCGGCGGGAATGGGGGCGCGGCGCGCATCCAGCGCGGACGTCCGCGCGGTGTCCTGGGGCATCCTCCACCCTCCACTCGCGCTGAAATGCCTGCGCAGCCCCCAGTTGTGCCATCGCTGTTTCTGATGTTGTGGGAGGGCGGGTGGGAGTGGGCATGCAGCGCTTGACTCGCTCGAGCCGGCTAGTTTGACCCTTCTTCACCTCCCCCCCCCCTCCCCCCCCCCCCCCTCCCTCCACCCCCCCCCCCCCCCCGCCCCCCCCGCCCCCGCCCCCCCCCCCCGCCTGCCCAGGTGTGCCTCGCGACGGCGTTCCGCGAGGGCAAGAGCACGCTCCAGGACACGAGCGCTTCGTGGACGCGAGGGCCCTGGCGTGCCACGCGCGCTCCGCTTGAGCGCCGACTACGCCGTCGAGGCCCGCGGCTGCCAAGCTTCGAGGATCGAGGGCGGGGGGCGACGGGGGGGGGGGAGGCGCGGGGGGGAAAGGGGGGGGGGGCGAAGGGGGGGGGGCGGAAGTTGCGCCGTGCCTCTCCCGAGCGATGGGCCCCCCTTACTTAGGGGAGGGGGGCGGGGGGCGAGGGGGGGGGAGGGGGGGCGGGCGCGGAGAGGCGAGGAGGGGGGGGGGGAGGGGGGGGAGGAGGCAGGAGGGGGGATGAGGAGAGAGGAGGGAGGAGGAGGAGGAGGAGGAGGAGGAGGAGGAGGAGGAGCAGGCAATTAAAACATGAGGGAGGCTCGCCCCAGGGTGGAAGAGGAGGGCGCAGGGGGAGGACCCAGGAGGGGGATGAGGAGAGGAA